CAACTGCCCCCACCTCCAAGTTTACACCTGATGCTTCCTCTGTCCGTCTGAGCAGTTTGGGCAGAAAACTAAAGTTGGTTCCTTATTCCCAGTTCCTAAAGACACACATACACACCCCATGTTTGTTCACTTTCCCACCTCTCCTTTCTGTCTCCTTTTGTCTCATCCTGTGACTGAGATGGTGTAAGAGAATGACCCCCACCATACTGGCTCCTGGCCACATATTTCTAAGAGAGGAATCACAGAGAAATGTTTCTGGTTTCATATCCCTCGCTTCCTCCAGATGCCGTCTTGCCAGGGCTGGGCCTACGCAACAAGCTTGAAAGCAGGGAGAAGCTGTGTGGGAGCTCAGTCCTTTCCTTTACACTTCTGTGCGTTATTTATATTTATTGATTTGATTTATAGCCTACCCTCCCCGTGAAGACAGGCTCAGGGAGCCTTAAAAGGTAAAGGTAAAGGTTCCCTTGCTCGAAAGCCAGTCGAATCCGACTCTAGGGTTGCGGTGCTCATCTCCGTTTCAAAGCCGAAGAGCCAGCGCTGTCCGAAGACGTTTCCGTGGTCATGTGGCCGGCATGACTAAACACCAAGGCGCACGGAACGCTGTTACCTTCCCACCGAAGTGGTACCTATTTATCTACTTGCAATTTCTTGCTTTCGAACTGCTAGGTTGGCGGGAGCTGGAACGAGAGACGGGAGCTCACTCCGTCATGCGGCACCCGGGTCTCGAACTGCTGAACTACTGACCTTCCACAGCCTGCAGTTCAGCGTCTTAACCACTTGAGCCACTGCAGCTCCTCCAGGGAACCTTACAGTCATATATATAAAAATACAGTGTACAAATATTAAAACAGATAAAACAGTTAAAACCACAACAAAGGGCAAAGTGCTAGCAGTACAGTAAACAATGGTGGCTTTCTTTCGGCATCCAGGTATAACTGTTGCCATATTCCAGGTTCCTTGCCAGGCTCTCAGACATTACTTTGGTGCGGATGTTACTTTGGTGCTGATGTTAGGGCCTGGGCCACGGCATGGGGTACAGTGTGTGGGGAAAGGGAACCAGCAAAGCAGCAGAGCACGGATCAAGGAGAACAGCCCAAACAGGAAGAGGAGCATTGGGTTTAAGGAATGCTTTTGAGCAAGTCTGAAAGATACTGAAGACATGATTGCCTCAGACCTTTTGAGAATGAGGGTTAGACGCCTCCTTATTTCTCAGTTCCTTCCCTCCCACACCAGGTCCTCATTTTCTTGCCCTCCACTATTTGATTTAAGTCCCACTTCCCTCCTGTAGTCTATATTAATCTATATTAATTTAATTAACTTAGGCCTTCCTCTTCATTATCTCACTGTGGTACTGCTTTCTTCTACCCTCTGTGTATCATTTGTGTCTCTCTTTGGCTGAATCTTTAAGAGTGTCTATTAATATTTAAGACTATTTAATGCAGATTAGTTACCCTTTAAGCCACATGATTGTACTTTTGGTCAAGGTGCTTAAAGAGTAGATTTCCCTTCCGACTCTTGGGGGGGGGGACAGTGTGGGCACTCCAGACTGATCTATGACTGGGCCACAGTTGTTACCTTTTGCTTGCATTGCTACAAGGTAATCAGCATTCACTTATGGCTAGCAACTGGGGCCATGCCATCAGTCCTATGGTTGGCACCAGACAAGTCCCGAAGCCGCAGCACAGGGAAATTCATAATGCTGTAATCCCCACATTGCTGACAAGGTACCACCACTCTTTCTCATATCACAGAGATTGCTGTAGGAATCCTTGGTAGAATCCCTCTTCACATGCATACAAACACATACATTGTGATTCCAAAGTGGAACATAGTACACACAGGGGAACACGCAGAGTACATTCCGTCAAGGCTGTGCTCAAAACAACATCGATAGCTGTTGCAATGTCAGATCTTGTTGTCATCACTAAGTATAGAAGCTTGCCCATGGCAGCTCTGTAGTTATTGTCTGGCCCCAGTGGTTCACTCAGGTACCTTTTCTTTGTAGAAGCCCGACTCCATTGGTGTGGGCACTGAAACATTCCAGGCCCAGGCCACCATGTTTAGAAGCACTACCTTTATTCACCAGATGTTGGGGGTGAACAGCGGGAGTCATCCCTCTCTTGCCCGTGAGCTGTTCTGAACCCACTAAGGACAGCTGGCCAAGAAGTCCGACAACAGAGCCAGTTTTGGCAGGTGCAGCTTTCCATGGAGGGTTGAGGAAAGCTGCTTTTGACTGAAGAAGTACAAATTGTAGGTACTTGCTCCTCTCCAGCCTCTGGTCGCCTGTGTAGGAGAGCCTGCAGGAGCTATGCCTCTCCCTTCGACTTCCATGTCAGTGATGGAACGGAAGTCCTCTGTATGAGACTCAAGCAGGAACAAAACACCTCAGCCTGACATGAGGGGGGACCCTATACCCAATGAGCAAAGCTTGGTTTGAGGGGTGCCAAACACTCCTAATGAAGGGAAACCAGGACGCTTAAGGGAGGGAATCCTTTGCAGAGAGGAAATATTTTAAAAGTTGTTCCCAGTGAAAGGCATCGTGGTATATTTCCAAAGCCATGTATTCTGCCGAGAAAATGAAGAGTATCATGACATGTCAGAGAGCTTTCCCCAGTTATCCAAAAGTATCTGGTGCTTGTTCAAAGGACCCGGATCTCAGAGAACAGGGAGATAGTATTTGGTGTCTGTGAAGGAGGACGGCTTTATTAGCCCCAGGTACAAATGTCACGCACTTATGCTTGCCAGGCTGACTTTAGACACCCCGTTAGAAGAAGGGAAGACAGCAAAGGTACCAGCAGACAAGAAAGACTGACCTGCCCTTCAGTGCTTTGAGGGGAAGAGAGAGGACCTTAGTCAGCATTGACTCTTCATGAATCCCATCACTAAATCGTCTCTCTGGCCTTGTGGGAAAGCCCCACAACAGGAGGACGGACTTGCTTGACAGATGGCCTGGAAGAAAAACCAGCCCAGCATTCAGGGACCTTGTTAAAAAAAAAGTTAGCAGCTGAACAGGGGAGGGGGGAGGAGAGAATGAATCGGCTGCTCCCAGTTCAATGCCGCATGGCCCAATTCCTTGAGTCAGCTGTGATATGACTCCCCCACACATAATTCTTCTAATGAAAAGGTGTTTTTGTTTCATGAAAAAGGTCCTGGACCCTGGTTTTTGCACCAGTTATCTTCCAGACCACATCAATAGGCTTGTCAAGTCCAGGTTGTTCAGTTCAGTTTCTTGTTATGGTCCTTAGACCCGTCATAAGTCCAGGTTGAGAAATTGCTGGAGATTTAGGGGAGAGCCTGAGGAGGACGCAGTCTAGTGTGTTCCTCTGACGCCATTGCGGGTCTCGCAGTGGCAGGACCTCTCGGGGCAAAGAGGGGGCTCGATCCCTTGGCACGCACCTTGGGAGCAGCACCTCTTGTGCCCCAGGCTATGAGCCTCCTACATGGGCTCCAGGGGCCCCAAAACCATCCTATCCCCCTCCCACCCGCTACGATCCAGATCGCGCCCATCAGAGCTCGATGGGATGTGTCCATTCTCAAGTTGCCAGAACTGGAAGTCGAGGGACACAATCTCTTATTAATGCTGCTATTTATTGGTATCACTTACCAATAAATCACTTAAGGTTATTAGTACTGATTTTATTGTTGTAATGAGTTTAATTGTTAATGTATTTATATGGATGGACATTATACTGTGTTGTAACCCACCCTGAGCCTGCTTGCAGGGGAGGGTGGGACAGAAGCCCAATCAATCAATCAATCAATCAATAAGGTGGCAGTGGACAGATTTCCCATGTTGTCTGTCTGATGCATCTGGTGATCAAAGGTCTACTATGTCAGAACACGGGGATTCCGTGGCTTATTTTAGTAGGCTGTCAATATATCTAATCAATTAATTATGGATTGGATTCCACAGATCTGTTCTGCAAACAGTGGCGCTTTTCTCTGGCACAAGCATCCTTCTGCCAATGCAGAAAAAAAAATATTTTCCCAATTTTGAGGTCTGGATTGGCCCCAAATGTTAATATAGAATGGGAAAATGGATCAAATGGATATTGTTGTGACCTTATGCAGCCTTGTTCTCTAGCTGCAGAAACCGTAGGAGGAACAGGACCCACACTCTAGCAGAAGTAGACGCATTCCACTTAAAAAGGGACATCAGATGAGAAATCTCTAAGAGATCTCAAGGTGGACAGAGGGAGGACTGACTGTTCTACCAGGACTCTGGTAGATAGGGACTCTGGGGCAAGTGATGCTCTGTCATCTTGGTGCTTGGGGGGGGGTCAACAATGGGAGGGCTTCTGGAGTTCTGGCCCCACTGGTGGACCTCCTGATGGCACCTGGTATTTCTGGCCACTGTGTGATACAGAGTGTTGGACTGGATGAGCCTTTGGCCTGATCCAACATTGGCATCTCTTATGTTCTTATGACTAAATTCTGCTGTAAGAAGCAAGAAGCCAGGCCAATTCCATTGCACAACACATAAGCATGTATGTGTGTGTGTGTGTGTTAATGGGCCTTACGTCTGCAAACAGGTGGATCCACACCTGACCTTTGTATTTCAGCACATACCAGGGACTGCACTGCCCAGTATATAAGCAGATGGTCTAAACAGGAGGGCAGTAGCGGAGCAAATATTTTCCCTTTTTTTGTCCCCCCCCCCCAATAGGGGATTTTTAAATTGCATTTTCTATATACTACAAAGAAACAAGGAAAGGTAACTACAAACTACAGGTGAAAGTAAAGAAAAACCACTAAAACCCCAAGAGATGGTGGTCATTCACAATGCTTATAAATTAGCTTCTAGTTAAATAAGCTTATACTTTGCTACGTTGAGTACACAATTCTTATTGCTTATACTAGAATCTCCAACAAATCTGACTATATAAAGATCTCTATAGAGAAATTATTTAAATTCATTTAAAACAGAATCTAGAGAACAATCACAACTCATTTTTTATCCTTTTTGTTTCTCAATTGATAGCTTAGTTTAGGGGCAGAACATCTGGCCAGCAACGTCCTCATGGCAGATTTCATCTCTTTGCTCTTCAGAGTATAGACAACTGGGTTTAGCAAGGGGGTGACAGTGATGGAGAAGACTGAGACTGCTTTATCAATCGTGAACCTGGCGTATGGACGCAAGTAAATAAAGATGCAGGGTCCAAAGTACATGGTGACCACTGTGAGGTGAGAGGTGCAGGTGGAGATGGCCTTGGATGTCCCTTCAGAGGGAGGCCTGGAACAGATGGCTGAGAGAATGAGTCCGTACGAGATGAGCAAAGCGACAAACCCAACCAGTGAGATGATACCACTGTTGGTCACCATCATGATCTCTAGGGAATAGTTGTCAACACAGGCCAACTTGATGATCAAGGGGATGTCACAGAAGAAGCTGTCCAGGTGGTTGGGCCCACAGAAGGGGACATTAATGGTGAAGGCCAATTGCACACTTGTATGGAGGAGCCCACCGGCCCAGGAGCCTAGCACAAGTCCCACACAATGGCATTGACTCATGAGGGAGGCATAGCGGAGAGGATGGCAGATGGCCACATATCGGTCGTAAGCCATAGCCATGAGTAGGAGCATCTCACTGCCTCCAAACAGGTGGAGGAAGAAGATCTGTGCCATGCAGCCCTGGAAGGAGATGGTCTGATGGTCCTGGACAAGGAAATCAAAGAGAGCCCAGGGGATGGCAAAGGAGGACATGCAGAGGTCCAGAAAAGCCATGTGGCCCAGAAGAAAGAACATGGGTGAACTGAGAAAATGGCGGTCCTGGGAAATTGCCAAGATGATAAGAAGGTTGATGAAGAGGGTGGCCACATAGAGGAAGAAGAAGAACACAAACAAGAGGAGGTGGGCTTCCCAAGATGGGGAGAGGCCGAGGAGGACAAACTCAGTCACTGTGGTCCTGTTTTCCCACGCCATTCACTTCTTACCTATCCCTGAGAAAACAGGGGAAAGAGGAAAGAAATAGTAACGATAACGATCAACACAGGCTTAGAGTCAACCACACATGGAAGTCCTTTTGCATTGCCAACAACATTATTGGTAATAGGACAAACTCGGTCACTGTGGTCCTGTTTTCCCACGCCATTCACTTCTTACCTATTCCTGAGAAAACAGGGGAAAGAGGAAAGAAATAGTAACGATAACCATCAACACAGGCTTAGAGTCAACCACACACGGAAGTGCTTTTGCATTGACCAATTTACTTTCAGCATTACCAATAATGTTGTTGGCCTTCACCTCTCACATTGTGACACCTTTGGAGGCTGGAGGCTGCTACGGGCAGGGGTAGCTCTGCCTAGTAGGCAGGGCAGCTAGAGATAGATGGATTTTCCAAAGCAAACTCTAAACTGACGAGCTTATGTTACTCCGGTATTTCTATGCTTGTTCCCACTCTCTGCATCCAAACTCCACCTTGAACCTTCAAAGCCATCTCTGGATGCTATTAGCCCTATGAGTAAACATGGACGCAAGATGCCTCCTCCTGTGGAATTTCCTGTCCCGTTCTTTTGGTTTCTGAGACACCACCACCCATCATAGAATGTGCCAGTCACCCCTAGACCCATGATAAGCAACATCCACTGCAGTGGATTACAGTCTTTGTGCTCCCTAATTTGAGAGGCACATCCAAGATCTGTGCCACTGGGTCTACTCTAGTGCCCCTTCTATAAAGTCCTAAGGATACTACATGACTGACTGAAATTTTATCTGCAGACACAGAATGATTCGATGAATGACTTGTTCTCCTAAGAAAGCATTTTGCTCTTCAAAATAGCATTCTCTGTGTTGGGTTGGTCCAGGGGTCATTTCATAGAAAAAGAGCTAGGGGGACTCATTAGCATAACTCATTAGCATATGCCACACCCCCTGACATCACCGGAAGTGTGTCCTCCCCACAGCTGGCGGTGACCTCCAGCGGGCACCAGCAGGGAGCTCCAGGCCCCACCCTCCCGCACCTCACCCGGGGGATGGCGTCCCCCCGCATCCCCCCAAATGACCCCTGGGTTGGTCAGCTTTTCACATGGCTTTTGTCCATGCAGGTCTTGTGACCCCCCCCCAGCATAGCCTTTGCGTGGGTGAGGTCAAAGGGGAACCCCCCTCCCAAAGCAGAAAAGCTTTGGGGATCAAACCCTCTACCCCTTAGAAATTAACAAAATGCCATTAAGGGTAGAGGGTTGGATCCAATGCTCTCTCTAAGCTGTGGAGTCTTGTGAGTAAAAATCCTACTTTGTGAGCTCCTGGCATTAAAGCTGTGAGCGAGCGATTTGGCTGCTGCAGAAATGAGTTTGCTCTGGAGCCCTCCTTCCTGAGCTAGGACAAAAATGTGTGAGCCGGAGGCTAAAAAACTCTGAGCCAGCTCACACTAACTCAGCTTAGAGGGGAGACTGGTTGTATGTCACAAAGTTTCTGGGTACTTTGGTAGTTGACAATGAACGATTTTTGTTGTTGTTCAGTCGCACAGTCGAGTCCGACTCTTCGCAACCCGCCAGGCCCTCCTGTCTTCCGCCGTCCTCTGAAGTTTGCTCAGTTTCATTGAACAATAGCAGCTCGATTAATGGGAAATGGGCTGCTCTTTTCCCTAAAGCCACATTAGAATGTCCCTTGAATCGCATCTGATTGCAGACTGGAAAAGAGCAGAAACCAAGTTTGCTGGTCGGAGGGTAGAGTTAAAAGATAAAATGGTTTTTGTATTTGTTGGAGGAGTCGGCTTAAGGTTGCTGTAGCCTGGGGGACCATTTGTTTATCTTAAAGACTTGTACTTGCCTTTTGGTATGACACGGGCATAGCCAGGCAGCAAATAGCATTAAAATAAGGTAAAATTACAGCTGTGTAAACATAACAAATGGAGCTGCGGTGGCTCAAGTGGTTAAGACGCTGAACTGCAGGCTGTGGAAGGTCGGTAGTTCAGCAGTTCAAGACCCGGGTGCCGCAAGACGGAGTGAGCTCCCGTCTCTAGTTCCAGCTCCTGCCAACCTAGCAGTTCGAAAGCAAGAAATTGCAAGTAAATAAATAGGTACCACTTCGGTGGGAAGGTAACAGTGTTCCGTGTGCCTTGGTGTTTAGCCATGCCGCCGGCCACATGACCACGGAAACGTCTTCGGACAGCGCTGGCTCTTCGGCTTTGAAACGGAGATGAGCACCGCAACCCTAGAGTCGGACTCGACTGGCTTTCGAGCAAGGGAACCTTTACCTTTAAACATAACAAAATTAAAATATCCCGACCTGGATGCCCCAAGGCTAGCCAGTTCTCGTCAGGTCTCAAAAGCTAAGCAGGGTCAGCTCTGATTCGCATTTGGATGGGAGGACACCAAGGAAGTCCAGGGTTGCTGTGCAGAGGCACTTATTTATTATTTATTTATTTATTTATTAATCAGACTTATACCCCGCCCTCCCCTGTAGGGCTCAGGGCGGCTAACAGGCAAAAGATATTGCAACAATAAAACATAATTCTCAAAGTTAAAAACAAATAAACATTTGAAAACCCAATCCTCTTAGAATAATAGAATCACAGAGTTAGAAGGGGCCATACAGGCCAACCCCCTGTTCAATGCAGGATCAGCCTAGAGCATCCCTGACAACTGTTTGTCCAGTCACTGCTTAAAGACTGCCAGGGCGGGGGAGCTCACCACTCCCCGAGGCAGCTGATTGCACTGTTGCACAACGCTCAGTGTAAATGTTTTTCCTAAGATCGAGCTAGTACCTTCCCGCCCTTAATTTAAACCCATTATTATGAGTCCTATCCTCTGCTGCCAACAGGAACAGCTAGAGATGTAAAATTTCAGGAAATTTTGAAGCTTGGGAAAAAATGGAGATTTTCGGAAAAATTGAAAAAAATGCTACATTAGCATTTCTTTTGTCTTTTCTAGATTGAAAGTCATTCTGTTACTTTAGGAACATAAAATATGACTATGGACATTTTTACTTGGCATGAAATTATCACAACTAGCATATTAAAAATATAGTGTATCCAAACAATTATTACAAACAGAATACCCACCCACATGCAAAAAAAAAACCTGAAACTTTTTTATTTTCTTCTGACAATCGCACCTCCTAAAGGAAGAAATGCATCTTGTTCTTGCATTGGAGAGTTCAGTTTGGAACCTAGGACTTGCCTGTCCTCAGTGCACAGAAAGTAGATCAATCTGATACCATATATATATATTTTAGAAATGATCTGGAAAATATTTGAACACCATGTCTTAAAATATTTTATTCATCATGTTAAAATAAAACGTTCCATGATCAGTTTTTTTCCTTTTCTTTTCTTTTTTCAATTTTTCCAATTTTTCGGAAAAAAACAAAAAGGCTTCAGGAAAAAAATGGGGAAAAAACATTTTTTCCCCCTAATTTTTCCGGTTTTTTTCCGGGCCTTCACATCTCTAGCTGTGACTTGATGGCACTTTCCACCACTGCAAACATCTGTCTCTTGACCTGGATAGTCCAGGCTAGCTGGATCTCATGAGATCTCTGAAGCTAAGCAGCATTGGCCCTGGTTAGTATTTGAATGGGAGACCACTAAGGAAGTCCGGGGTCTCTGCACAGAGGCAGGTAATGGCAAACCCACCTCTTTTCGTCTCTTGCCTGAAAACCACAGGAGGTCGCCGTAAGTTGGCTGTGACTTGACAGCTCTTTCCACCAGACACTAAAACACACCAACACCATATCTTACAAAAAGACTGACCGAACGGCCAGCCACATGGTGGGAGATGATCTACAGATGAAGCCAAGCCACAAAAACTTGCTTACTGTTGGAGTAGCTGCCATTTGTGATCCCCATGTAGTGGCTGAGATGTGAGAAACGGCAGAAGAGAGGAAGATGCAGGAGGAGATGGAGGCAAGGTAGACAGGAATATTGGAAGAATGGAAAATATGTGCCGTGAACATGGCAAAAGCTAGGGGTTAATCAGTTATGCAGAAGATACAATTAAAATAAAAGGAAGTCAAGGGACAGCTCACGGTTATCCTGGGAAAGTCCTTACCCCAGACTGTTATAATGGCCAGAGGAATAAATATCATAGCAAGAACTGTATACATACATGGAAGCTTCGCCTATCACTAGCTGCCTGATATGAATAAGAGATTTCCATGTTCAGAGCCAGCACACCTCTAGCTGGTGGTAGAAAGTGCCATCGAGTTGCCTCATGGAGTTTCCAAGGCAAGATAATTCAGAGGTGGTTTGCAATTGCTTGTTTCTACTTAGCAGCCTTGAATTTTCTTCGTGGTCTCCCATCGAACTACTAACCAGGGCTGACCCTGCTTAGCTTCCAAGATCTGACAAGATCAGGCTATCCTGGGCTGGTTAGGGCATGCCTCTAATACCTGCATATGTTACAACAGGACAGATCCAAACATTAGAGACCTCTTCCAAAGTAACTGATTGGACACTGCTGGAAGACAAAATGGTCAACTAGATGGCCACAGCCTAATCCAGAATCAGAGGTCAAGTTTCTCTTGTTATGATGATCCTTCTGAGTAGAGAACACAACTCACTCTCACCACGGCAGTTTCTACCTGGAGCTGTATCTGGGCTGAAACGCATCTCAGAGCAACCCGAGCTTCAGCTGATATTCACCCGTTGCCTTATTTGTTCCAAAGGGAAGGATCCTATCTAGTGTCAATCTAGTGAATGAATATTCAGGGTTATTAATGCATTTATTTCCCTTAAACTACACATCAAACCACATAATACTTTCATTATCTCAATATTCCATGTAGAAGAAGAAGAAGAAGAAGAGATTGGATTTATACCCCGCCCTTCACTTGGAGTCTCAGAGCGGCTTACAAACTCCTTTCCCTTCCCCTCCCCACAACAGGCACCCTGTGAGGTGGGTGGGGCTGAGAGAACTCTGACACAAACTGCTCTTTTTCAAGGACAGCTGTGTCAGAGCTTGTGACTGACCCAAGGTCACATCAGC